GAGATGGGTAGGATTAGGGGTGGGTTTAGGGATCAGGTGGCGGAGATGGGAAGGATTAGGGGTGGGGTTAGGGATCAAGTGGCGGAGATGGGAAGGATTAGGGGTGGGGTTAGGATCAAGGGCGGAGATGGGTAGGATTAGGGGTGGGGTTAGGGATCAGGTGGCGGAGATGGGAAGGATTAGGGGTGGGGTTAGGGATCAGGTGGCGGAGATGGGAAGGATTAGGGGTGGGTTTAGGGATCAGTGGACGGAGATGGGAAGGATTAGGTATGTAAAGTGGGATGAGTTGGATCTTGATCCAAGTCCTCCCCATGGATTCTTTGTTCTGTAGTGAGGACCATCTCCAGTTTTGGGTGAACTAACACTTTAAGCACTATTCCCTACAGGATTTGCTTTCCTTGAGTTTCATTTATAGAGTACATCTGTGATTTCATGTGCCAATTTGGACGGGACCAGGTGTGAGTGTCGGTTATGTGGCCGTTATGGAAGGTCATGTGATCTAAATATGTGCATCACTTAATAAATGTATTGGTAATAAAAACAGAATTTAGTCAATTAACTTGTTATGGATAATAAATTAATTGAAATAAGACTTGTATATATGTGATTAATCATTACATATAAAATTAATTAGGAGCCAAGGAACCTATTGTATCCATTGGTGTTCTTCTTCTTTTCCTTCTTTCCTATTCTTCCACTCAGGATGTCTGTGGCAGCCCATAGAAAGCTTGCGGGAAAGTTGTGAGATTTGGCACACAGACAAAGGACAGTCTGAACTGTCAGCATAGCAGATTTAGAGTCTCTAACTCAATCCCTCTAGCGCCACCAATTGTTCAAAGTTGCACATGCGTTTATGCTAATGATTCATCAAACGTGCAAATTAATTTGATGAAGATCCCGCCAAGGTGAACGTGAGGCTATATCTCCACACCGCTTTAGCATGTTCAGACCAAACTTGGTGTGTGTTCTGAAAACCAAGACCTGAGGCTGCATGCACAGTTTTGGGATAGTGCCACCTAGTGGTCAGCAGATATGAAAAATGTCTCTTTTTGCTTATAACTTTTAAATGGTGTGGCCCAAAAAAAACAAAAACGTTTACACATACATTGTTATTTTGAAAAACAGAGACATTCACCTTCGTTTGTGCCCTTCTTATACACGCCAACGAAGAATTTGTCTCTGAAAATGATTCTTTCTAAAAATTCCTGCCAGAGTAGAGATTTTGGAAAACTTAATCTGCATGTTTGCATGCAAACAGAGAAAACTACGTTTTAGGCAGCCGACGTCACAATATGCGACACTACTTGCACCTGCATCAAAAGTGCGACCTTGCGAATCGATTCTTTCGATTGGCTAACGTGGGCTTAAGCCTCTCGTTACACTGCCACCAACAGGTTTGGCATGCTCTTGACGGCATATACACGGGTGCGTGTAAACAAACACTTTTCTGAAAACTGACTGGTGTGTACGATGTTATTTTTGAAAACGGAGAGGGTGAAATGTCTATTTTTTACGTGTAAGCGTAGCCTTAGATTCGGTGCAGCATGCCGAGTCATACGATACCCAATTTTGGGTAATAATGAAATTTCCCAAAAAATGCTAATAACTATTGATTAAATTAATCTATTGTAAAACCGATCTTAAAAGATTCCTTGGGTCATGCCCACAACACAGACACCAATTATGTTAGTTGGCCGAACTTCCTGTCCGCCATTTTGATTTTCTTTAAAAACCTACTGGTCCGATTTTCACCGAAATCGAACTGAATCAGACCATGCCAACGACTCTGAGGCTGTATCTCTGCAATGCTTTGGCATATTGACATATATAACTTTGCTTGCATCATTATCACCTCACTCTGACCAAACCACATCAATTTGGTCACAGCGCCACCTATTGGTTGAAAAAGATAAACAATTAAATCATATTACTAGGGACCATATCTATGATTTTTCAGGCATTTTGCCTATAATCATATAAAAATGTCTTTAATTGCTCATTGGTGCAGTTTGCCTGATTCTTCCAGCCTTGCTGGCATGACTTATCGTGCCTTTCTTTGTGCTTGGCCCCTTAAAGGGTTACGTCACCCTAAAATGTCAGTTCTGTCATCATTTACTTTCATCTTTTCATCATTTACCCTTTAAGTCCCAGCTTGTGATTCCTTTCCCTTTTCTCCTCTCATGTCACTTCCGGCTATTGCTTCAAATGTCAATAGTAAAGGCTAAAATATAACTGCATTAAAAAAAAGGAAAAAAATAAAAAGTTGAACAAATATTTTGTCATAGCATTGTACATGACTGTAATTGAAAAAGAAATCTAAATTAATCTAATGGGTTGTTGGACTACCTTTACTTTAGAAATTTGTTTAAATAATTTTTAATGTGTGTATATATCATTTTTCCACAAAAAATGCATATTTTCATATATACTTTTGATTATATTGTGGTGTTTTTGTTTATTATGCATCCCTATCTAGTTGCATTTTAGCAGAGAAAATGTTTAAAAAAATGTATTAATTTCTATAAACATTCTACTCCATTTATGCAGAAAAACAGACTTTCCTCTGAAAGCTTTTACGTTTAAGTACTCAGCAGTCTTTGCATGAAGTGTTTACTTCATAACCACTCTCCCTTTGTTTCTTCCAAGAACCCTTTCTTGGTTCAGGTCACTCTAAGAGTTGTTTTGACAGGAAATATGAGATAGTCACATTGTTGCCGATGAAAATGATGTAATGCGAAGCAACAAAATGCACTAAATCGCTGTTGTACTGTCGTACTTCCTTTCTTTAGTACCCACATTTCCTGAAGAGAGATGCCAACCGGCTGCAGATCATGCTTCAGAGGAGGAAACGCTATAAAAACAGAACTATTCTGGGCTACAAGACGCTGGCTGTTGGTGTTATTAATATGGCTGAGGTACGGACAAATGAATCACTCGATCCCCGTGTCCAGTTCATTGAAACTTATGTCAGACAGACTGTGACCTTTATAATTTGACCCTTCTGTAGTAGTAAAATTAGCACATGCTCACAGCTTTCATGTGTGGTGAACATGTTGGTACTTGTTCTCTCACATCACACATTGAAGAAGCCATATGCACTGAGAGCTTAGTAGTGATGCATTGCCATTGGTTTGCCAGCTCTTTGACAGTAATGGCTGATGTTTACATTCTACATAGAAGTGTGCTATTTGGCTGTATATATATATATATATATATATTTAAAGTATATTCTTAAACTATACTTGCAGATAATATTAATGAAATAAAAGGCCGCTTAAGAGAGTAACTTTCATGACTATGTTTCTGAACACACTTAAGTACACTTTTAAATCGTGTATTAAATATATATATATATATATATGTTTAATCGTTATTAAATATATATATATATATATATATACATACATGTTTATCAGTACATTCAGCACTAAACATTTCAAAGACAATAGAAGTAATTATGGGGTGTTTCACTGTAAGTGTTTCTTATTTTGAGAAAAAACACAAAAATAACATAAACATCCACTTCTAATCATCATTTATTTTATGACCCACATCTGAACCACAACAAAACAAACATACGTTAACAAATACATTGTGGACATTTTGAAAACTTCTTAAAAATGATGAATGACCGAAAAATGAATATATTATTTTTGTTTGTTATTGAAATCTGTTTGGGGGATTATTTCATGGGGACAAGATAATTTTTATTTTATTTTTACTTTACTATACTGAATAGCTTAATTGTTAGCCTATTCATCACTGTTACAACGGTTACACAAGTCAAGTGCAAAATATAAATATAAGTATATACACTAAATGATACAAATGTATTATTTGACCAATTTTAAAGTTTTACTACATTTTCATCCTGAAATCCACCTTGAAATCCTACCCCCTGTTGGGTTCAGGATAATCCTGGGGGTTTTTTTGGATCAAAGTTATCCAAATCCCACTGACAAGTTTTGAACAACACAAACTGAAGGTTTGATCCAGATTAAAACTAGGATTGGATTCCCTGATCTAATCTGATTTCAGATTCCTTCTTTCCCTTTTGAACAACGCATTTTCAAGATTTGATCCAATCCGATAACCAAAATCCGATCAGCTTTTGATCCAGATTAAATGTTTTGAACAACTGGCCCATGGGGTTGTTTTGGGCCAGTTATCTGGATAATATCTGGGTACATTGTAAAGCTCTGGGCCAGTTTTGGTCTGCTCCTGGCATTGTTCTGGTTGACTTACGGCTAACAGCACTTGGGCCAACCTTGGGCTGTGATTCAATGCGGTATGCCGAAATTTAGCCAAAGTCAATTTGCTATCTGGGCAATAGATTTTGCGACGGGTGAGAAAGTATCAGTTTGCTAACTCATTCAAATGCAAATATGATTGAGTTCTCTGACACTCAAAGTGCAACATTTTCCTTCTCTCATATTTGCAAGATTCTCTCAAAGCTTGTTCATAATCGTTAGCGACTATTTCTTCTTGTTCTTTTGTTTTATAACTGATATTCTTAAAGAGGTCTATTATTCAGGAGTGTTATGAGGGGGGCCTTTATGTGAGCGTAGACCTACGGGTACATTATGTTCAGCTTTCTGAAAGTTATTCTCTGCAGTTTCACCCCACAAATTCCAGACTCCTCTCCGCTGAGATTCCAGCGCTAATCATATATCAGTAGAGACTCGCCATAGAAAACCTTAAGGGGACTATTCATCACTCCAAGAGTTCGATGAGGAATGCCAACCTTGAAAAAGACCAAAACTCAGGCTTTCAGATGTGGTTGAAACTGGGAAACAAGGACAAGAAGGCCACATATTTCACATACCTCTGTTGGCGTGTTCGCTTATTCCGAGTGTTTGTGTTTAAGGTGATGCAGCACCCGACAGATGGAGGCCAGATTTTAGGACTCCACAAGTAACGTGAAGGAAGCACCGGTGCGTGCAGCAGAGCTCAGTGTTTATTCACTGTCCAGTCAACCCATCGACCCGGAGGACGGCAGTGGCAGCCGGAGACCAAGGCCAAAGCTTCAGGTGATCCAATGTATCCAAATAGAAAAAGAACTCACAATTTGGCAAATTTTCATTGGTGGAATCCAATAGGATTTCAGGAATCCACACAATCATGAATTTCGTGTGTGAACTTTAGTGAACTACCTTCGAGAGTTTAAAATGAACTAAGATTGAACAATACTTCTACAATATTGATTAAACGAGTAATTCACTTTAAAACTTTTGCTGATAATTTACTCACCCCCATGTCATCCAAGATGTCCATGTCTTTCTTTCTTCAGTCGAAGGTTTTTTTGATGAAAACATTCCAGGATTTTCTCCATATAACGGACTTCAATGGGAACCAAACGGTTCAAGGTCCAAAAGACAGTTTCAGTGCAAACTGTTCAAAGGGCTTTAAACGATTCCAGACGATAAATAAGGGTCTCATCAAGTGAAACGATCACTCGTTTAATAAATAAATAACAAAGTTTAAGTTTTATAAGCTCAAATGCTCGCTTTGCTCTGTTCTGTGAAGCGCGTTGGTGACTCTCCTGTTCGAACTCGTTCATCAAAATGAACGAATCTTTTTTCATGTCATTTGGTTCATTCAACGAACGAAATGAATTTGTTCATTTTGATGAACGAGTTCGAACAGGAGAGTCACGAACGCGCATCACAGAACAGAGCAAGGCGAGCATTTGAGCTTATAAAACTTAAACTTTGTTATTTATTTATTAAATGAGCGATCGTTTTCGCTTGATAAGACCTTATTCATCGTCTGGAATCGTTTAAAGCCCTTTGAAACAGTTTGGTCTTTTGACCTTGAACCGTTTGGTTCCCATTGAAGTCCGTTATATGGAGAAAATCCTGGAATGTTTTCATCAAAAACCTTCATTTCTTTTCGACTAAGAAAGTCGAAAGACATCTTGGATGACATGGGGTGAGTAAATTATCAGCAAAGGTTTTTTTGAAAAGTAAGTAAAATTAACGAACGAACCTTAAGGTTTACCAATTTTCCAATGGAGATTGTGTATATCTACACTATTGACATCAGACGATGGACCTTTCTTGCTCGCGAAATTGATTGAAATTTCACAAATGTGGCCGCATCTTAATGGGAAGGAAGGGAACATATAAAGGACAGATCTTTAACCACTACACCAAACCACCCCTGAATATCCAGTTACATTCTTCCATCAGAGAGTAGCTTTGTTTATGCTCAGTCATTACATTGACCATAAGATGCTAATGGGCAGTTTGAGTGCATTAAGCTGCAATAAAAATAAACGTCCCCCCGGAAACTCTCTCTCCCACCAAACATCCTCCCATTCATCCTCTTTAAACACACACAAGGAGAAAGTGACTGATGCTGCGGTGCATTAAAAGGGAAAGTTGCTTTAGCAGCTCAAGTGTTCTCAAATTGGAGCTGTAAAATTGCTGCATGTTTTGAACGGATCACTTTAATGCTCTGGATTTTTCTGTCGGCCGGGTGGCACTGGATGTCTGAGGCCTTTGCTGCAATAAAATGTCATGGGGTCATTAAATGTCTCTGTCTCTTTGCAGACCGTTCTCCAGATATGGATAACTATTCTGAAGATGACGATGATAGTTACTCGTCAGAGCAGGAGGCGAGCGACGACGCTGTTCAAGGCCAGGTCAGGAGTTTTCCCAACGTTGTATTTTATTATTCTTCAATATAAGAAAGCCCAGCATTTTTAAAAAAGGGGTGAAATTTCTACTTAATTCCCAGATTTCTCGATGAATGTAGTCTGTCAATAACATTGGTCTTGTTGGTGTTAGCTTGTGCCACATAGAGTGTGTTAATTTCGAAGAATTGGTAACACTTTATTTGAAGGGGTGTTCATAAGACATGACATGACACTTGAGGTTTTATGCATGTTTATGACAACTGTCATTAAGTGTCATTCGCCCAATTACGACATTTGTAATGCAAATATTGCACCTTGATATAAACCAATACATCATAACCTGTCAGTGTCTTTGTCATGAACAACATGACATTACTAAGACAACACAACCTGTCATAAACATGACAATTATCAAACTTAAGAAACCGCCTAGCTTTATTGGTTAACATTGCATTAAACTGTCATGTGGTTGGTTTTGACATTGGCTGTCATGAAGACATTATAACTTTTTAATGACTAATTCAATTTGTACCTCTGTATAATGTGAAGTGGTTTCTTAAGTTTGATAATTAATCTGCAATGTCATGTTTATGACATATTTATGTTAATGTCAAGTTGTCATTACCAGGACTCTGACAGGTTATGATGTATTGGTTTATGTCAAGTCGTCATAACAAAAACAGCTCAAACAATGTCACATTTGCATTAACAATTTCATAATTGAGACTTAAAGGGATACTCCACTTTTTTTGGAAATAGGCTCATTTGACCACTCCCCCAGAGTTAAACAGTTGAGTTTTACCGTTTTCGAATCCATTCAGCCGATTTTCTGATATTTAGAAGAATATCAGTAACCAGACAGTTTCTGGTCTCATTGACGTCCATAGTTGGAAAAAAAACTATGGAAGTCAATGAGACCAGAAACTGTCTGGTTACTGATATTCTTCTAAATATAAAAAAAAAAATCGGCTGAATGGATTCGAAAACAGTAAAACTCGACTGTTTGACTCTAGGGGAGTGGTAAAATGAGCGTATTTCCAAAAAAAAAAGTGGAGTATCCCTTTAATGACAGTTGCCATTAACATGCAATAACCCCTCCTTCATGTGTCATGTCATGATTATGAAGGTGTCATGTCAGTCTTATGAACACCCTTTCAAGTAAAGTGTTACGTACTGTAAAGTCTATTGAAATTCTGTTTTAGGACCTTTATGATGAGGATGATGATGTTCAGCGGAAGCCCAAAAAATCTCGAAGGAAAATGATTAGAACGACATCTATGACCCGGGTATGTCCTTCTGCACTTAATCAACACTCGCAGAAAATGATCGGACCCAGAATCGAGCCCTGAGGAACACCATTCGTAAAAAAGTCTTTGTATATCAGTTCTGCTTACCGATAAGATTCAGTTGTATTATGTATTGTATCATATCACATTGGCCACCCTATTCTCTATTGGTATCTGCATATCATACCATTACAAAATTCATGTTGGTTGAGCACTGGTAAATTCATCAACATCAACAGTTAGGTGACGCAATCTATTATCCTGGAATTATTGTCTTGACACAAGTCACTTCAGGCAGCGAGATAGAAACAGAAACAAATTAGCTGTGTCCTTAATGGGGTGTTTGGTGTTTGGGCTCAGTGTTATCTAGTTCACAGAAGGTCTTGTTCTAATCCTCTTGAACTAAGCTCACCATTGGGAACACAAGTGTTGACCCAGGATCGTGCATAAACCAGAACAACACTAATTTAGAGACACATTATGAAAAATTGAGGCCCACTCAACTGCTATGCACTAAATATTTAAATGAATAATTGATACAATTCACTCATTGTATACATACGTTTCCACATTGTACTTTTATCTGTTATTAATTTCTGTAGTTACACATATAATTATACTGTTGAATCTACTCCACCCACCTTTAAACCTACTTCTATTTAACCACACCTATCCTTAAAGGGATACTCAGCTTTTTTGGAAATAGGCTCATTTTACCACTCTCGCCCAGAGTTAAACAGTGGAGTTTTACCGTTTTCCAATCCATTCAGCCGATTTTCTGATATTTAGAAGAATA